CTCATAGGAGACCACCGGACTCTCTCCCAGGGGAGGGGCTGGGGGAGAGAGGGAGATGTCTGGTGTACAAGGCTCCGTCCAGCATGGACCAAAACACAGCACGGACGGTTCAGAAGCAATTCGGAATGAGTTAAAAGCAATTAATAAACAGACAAAGTGGTGTTTAAAACTGCATATATTGCTAGCAGATCTATTTTCTGGCCTAAAGTGCGGCCGTGACTGGCTCTGAATGTGGGCTTTAGCAGGCAGCCGCTCTGTCCTCTTTCTCGTCACCCCCTCGCTCTGAATGTAGGCATGGACTGTAACGCTATATGGCGTATACTGCCCCCATCAGTTCTGGAAGAGTCATAGCACCAATTCTTATGCTGGTATTGGTTCTTCCAGTTTTTCAAGAAAATGAGTATCGCTGGTTTCTTTTTTTCATCATGGAATCAAAAGGTATCGCGACTATCAGTTCTCATAACATCACTACCTAAGACAGACTGACAAACGCTGCTCTGGGCCGGTAGAATCCCAGTAAGCTAAACTTGCATCACTGTCAGCAAAACTACGCTACTTGCCTCAAAAACTTTAATTGAACAAGTGTTGGAACTGTCGCAAATTTGCATCACTGCTATTACGATTAGTCTTGATGTGAAATACTTGTGGGCGAGTATTCCATTTACGTTTCTCTTTAACTTATATATCACAGTCAGTGTTCCAGATAATCCCAAAGGCGCTGGATTAGGGTTGCGTTCAGAATCCAGTGAAGGCCAGTCAAGATCTTTATGGAGCTGACTTTGTGCACAGGATGATCATTATGTTGAATCAGGAAAGGAAAGCAAACAGTTTTCAAATAGCTGGAAGCACACCATTGTTTAAATATAAGTGCGTGCTTCAGCATTGAGCTTTTCCTTTATTGGAACTAAGGGACCAACCAAGAAACAGGAGTGGTGTGACGGGGTATCCACCTACTTAAGATCATATTGTGTAATTTGGATGGATTTAATACACTGAAAGGTGAGTCTCTCTTTTTTATTGAACTGCCATGTTGGTCTATAAAAGAAATGAGTGTGATCAAACCTGTCATCCAGTAACTTTCCACTCAGCCCTTGAGGCTCTCTGCTACGTGGCTGGAATAGAATTTGACTGCACTGAAGGTTGGTGTCCAATGCAGTGAGATAATGTCAGACCAAAAAGGTGTCATCCTGAAGAAAACCGCCTTCCTCATTACCTAACTTTCCAACTGATATGCAATACTAAAACAAAGTCGCCTTCCAGACTTTCTGGTTTTAAGTTTTAACTTTTTACCAAAAGCCTGCAGCAAAACATCAAATCACTGGTGCCCTGCAGCTTCCTCGGCAGAGAGCAATTATTTGGAATTAAATCCCATTCACTGTTCAGCCAGCAGCACGAACAAGGTAAGGTCTGACAAGCTGTCAGCTGGGAGAAGGAAATGAGAGCTGCAGAGTCTTCCATCCACTGGGCTCTCTTTTTATCATTAACCTTGAAGAATGTTGACTTTTAACAAGCTTGCTTCTCTTCTTCTGCTCAGCTGCTTTTGAATGTCTCATATAGGCGGACAGGTGAGGGAGGAGTTGGACACTGTCACACAGGTCTTATTCCTCAGCCTCTATGCTTGTTTCTACAGGCCTGATGAACCAGGGTCACATGGCTTTCTCAACATAGATCCTGTTGTAATAACTCTTAAGGAGTGTATTCCTTCTTCTTCCGAGGAAATCCTACTTCCCATATGCCAAAAATCACCAAACTTTGCTCAAAGGTCCAGTCCTATGCTGGATTTGCTCAGCTGCAAAAACAGGCCAATAGTCCTGATGGTGGCGCTACAGCAAGCCTCTAAAGTTCAAAATTTTGAAAATTCACAACAAATCAACCATATGTGCTACAGATTTGAAACTTTCACCAAACTGTAGCCCCAATACTGAAGAAACTTTTGTACATTTAAATCTAATGCAAATTATGAAGTCCATCACTCTGTTTTTTTCAAAAACTGTAAAACGTATTAAACCTATCTCCTCCTACAATTTTTGCTCAATTGACACCAAACTTGCTACAGAGCATCTTCAGACTGTCCTACACAAACGATCCACACAGATTTTTGATTGATCAAAAATTGAGCCTACAGTGCATCAAGATGTTTGACTGTAAACAGTACTGTAAACATATACTTGCAAATTCATGTTAAATAAGTTTTTAATGTTCATGAAAAAAATTGACAAAACTTTGGAGTCATGATAGATGATGGCTGGCCAATATCAGAATTTTATATCAAGAACTGAATTTTTGACAGCATTTTCAGCAATGGGAATAGAGCATCTTTACACATCAGTTTTTCACTTATGGAGTAAATCAATCATTGTTAAAAACAAATTAACAACATCTCCATGCTGTCTAGATGCAAGATGTGGGTTTTCTTCAGATTTTTGTCTTGATAACTGAATTTATGACAGCCTTGACAGCTGCTGTCATCCTGGTGGCTGACTTAGTCAATTTGTGAAGCCACAGATGAGCTGTCACTTGCTAATTAGCTCAGTGAAATAGAAAATGCTCCTTGGTGTCAGAGGTTGTGAGTTCAAGCCTCAAGTGATGAAAAATGTACATTGTAATGGCAACTTTCTTGTCTTTCTATTCTGCCTCTTGTCGCTCAGAATTGCCTAAATTTGCCTAAAATTGCCCAGCCCCAACCATTGCTGCGCAGCATCTATAATTAGATTTATGTTTTGGAGGAAACACTGTTTTTTGTTTTTCTTTTAATCAAGAAAGTGTGACTACTTACATGGCGTACAATTGATAAAGAGGAGGCTGGATTGTTGGACATACAAAGCAATGACCAAAGTTGATGTTCTGCATCCCACATGTTGCCATATCATAATATGGTTAAGGTTAGGGAAAAGTTATTGCTTTGTCAAATACTGAAAAGGTTTATGCATCCCATTTCATCCTTTAAGTTAGCACATGGGCTTCAATACATTTTTTTGCAGGTGCTAGGTAAAAAAAAATGCTGCCAAGTTGTTCCCAAAATTAGTCCCTGGTGTTAGTAGTCAAATAGTCAGCTTCAGTTTGAAACTGCATGTAAAATAGAAAAAAGTAATTGGGTGAGACAGCAGTGTGAGCATATATTTTCTTTTCAAATAATACCAGAAGTTATAAAGCCCACAATCTTGCCACAAAATGTTTTAGCTCGTCTCTTTTGATCGACAAAACATCAAGTTAATGCTTTACTGTGCCTTCTACTGCTTTTTTGTTTTTCTTTTTTCCAAAATTTTCATTTTTTAATGCAGCATTTATCACTTAGGATGTTAGATATGTGGGTGTTATTCCTTTTCTTAGGAGCATTTTTTGGGCAAGCGCACAGCACATGCGCTTTAAACGTGTTTAACAGCAGTTTGTGACACACAGCCTTTTGCCTGTTTATGGTCATGGATACACTGTACACAAGCCAACTCTCAAACATTTCTGATTAGGAGAAACACACCTACATTTTATTTTATTTTATTTTTTTTACAGTTTTTACAGTTTGTTTTTTTGTGGATATGCATACATTTCATAACACTGACTTTTTAAAGAAGGTGGTCAAAGAAATGAAAGGGGGAGGCTGTCTGTAGTGATGGCCAAATGAAGCCGCATTTTCTTTATTTTATGAGCCCTCTAGATGGTGCTCTTGGTTTAAAAAGGGAGGCTCAAAGAATGGCAATTCAATGTGTTTTCAATCTTTTGCTGAAAAAAAGCGCCATCTAGTGGGCTTATAAAATAAAGAAAATGCTTCATGAGGCTTCATTTGGCCACCACTAGCTGTCACCAGTGGGAAACATTGGAAAAAAAAATCCTATTTTGATGCACAGAAGCAAAATGGCACAAGCGGCTACAGCTGTTTCACTTTTCCACAGTTTAACATGAAAAACATCAAGTTAGGGCACGCACACAGGGCTGCATGTAAACAGGAATATTAGTGGAATACTCATTTTCATTAGTCATGTAAATAGCTTAGTAGGAATATTGTCTTTTTTCCAGGATATGGGCAAAAACATTTTGTGCAAGAAAATGTCACTGTTTTACGCTCTTTGCACTTATTAAATGACCTTTTGTTGGATTAAAGTGTGCTTCTTCAGAAGGTTCAACAAATTTCCTTTTGCACACTGTGTTTATTGTGGTAACTGTTGCAGTGTTGTTTGTTCTTCAGTAAATATATCTGCTCTTCAAGGACAACCTAAATAAAAGGCTGAAACGCTCCAAACAGTTTGAGTGGCTGCAGAACATAAAAGAAAATTCCTCTACAACAAGGCAACAAAAAGTTTGTGGACAGGAAGGTCAAAAAGTAATACTGGAAAAAGTAACCTCAGCCATTTTCCAATCTCTGATACGCTATTTCTAAAGCCTTATTATCTATAGTAGCGGAACAAGTTTTAAGTCTTCGCCATCATCGTGCCAAACTGTACAGCCTGCAATTTAAAAAGCGACCCGAGAACAGCCGTGGAGAGTTCACGGTTGAGTTTAATCACTCGATCATAAACCTTTGAGAATGGCTACAAGAAGTCCAGCCAAAAGACAGAAAAACATTCCTCACAGGAGGTGTATCTGTCCAATTAGTTGGACTGAGCTTACTTTATTTTACCTTTGGCATAAATACACTGAGCAAGTTTTGCATTTTGTATTCCAAGAAAATGTGTTAGTTCTCCACAGAGCTTCCATCCACAGACGACCGCTGTGTACAGAAGTTTGTCTCGCAGGCTGCTTTGCAATGACTACAAGAGGCACAGCAGAGTAATTGGAAAATTTGGAGACAAACCGTGACAAGAAAAGCCTGGAGTCTGTAGTTATTTCACAAGAGTATAAAATTTATGTTCTGTGAGTGTTTGCAAACCTTGTTCCTGTTCACTCAAACAAGATCTGTACGAACAATCTCACTTTATGAACAAGGCTCACTGTGCAGGGACAGAGGATGTCTTTTATGACTTAAAACTTTGTTCACAGTGTTCATGTTCAATCTGTGTGCATGGTACCTGACAGTATGAAGAATATTCCAGAAACAAAGGCGAGGATGGTGCGCTGCGGCCGGATGTGTCCGATGTTGCTGATGACAAAGGCGGTGAAGACGAAGAGCAGGGAGACCATGGGGAAGGGAGTAGCAGTTCGGACCATTTCTAGAAGACAGGGAGAATAGTGGGAGAGGGTAAGAGAAGGACGGATGTGATTAAAAAGGGATTATGAGGACGTTAGCTTGGGGGGATATATTTACAAATGAACCTCTAAATTAATTACAGAAAGGAGTGACAGAATACTGGGAGTTGCTGTAATTGAGTTTTTTTTTTCTTTTTCCTGGCATGCGTTTTAACACTTTTATTTGAAATATAATCCTCCCATTAAAGAGTCAAGTTTGTTATTGTATGTCCAAGATGCAGCAGCCATAAAAAACTTGAAAACCTTGAGAAAGTTTACAGTGAATGATGAATAATTTAATATTTTAAGAAGTTTTGAAAAATAATATAATATAATAATGAATAAAATATTAAATGTGTCAATGTTAGTGAATAAATAATTATTATTATCATTAATAACAAAATAATAATAATAATAATAATAATAATAATAATAATAATAATATATAATTATTATTATTATTATTATTATTAATTAATTAATTAATTAATTACATTATTATCTGGTAAATCCAAAAATTGGTCACATCAACCTTTTATGAGCTCTAATCATTTTGCATACAATTGCATACATTAGATTGTATGATTTTGTTTCTACCCTCAAACTTAAGAATCTTCCTTTCTCAATGATACCATTGAAGCATATGAAGTCAGTATAGCATGTACTGAAATGATTGGAGCTGAGTTCTTAAAGAAGCAGTAATTCAGGTTTGGAAACTGGGGGGCATAAGAGCAAGGTCAAAACACAAGGGGTAAATTATTAACTTCAAGTGGAAATAGAGAAGGTTTTGCTTTAACTTATTATTGTAAAGTAAATGCTGATTGCACAATGTACTGGCCATAGATTAATGACATCATCTGTGTTAACATTGCCACCAGGTACCATCTCCCGTGAAAATAAAGGCTTGATTTATGAAACAAATCCTGGTAGCTATTGGTAGCTATACCCAGCTACCAAAGAGTAACAAGAAATGGTGCACAGTGAAAAATCTGAAGTAACTGTGGAAACTATCTTGCGAAAGAAAAAGAACCCCGATGCAAGGCCCTGAGAAAAATGGAAAGCAATCTGGTTATCTTTGCAATTTCACAATAACTTCACCAAGTGGAAACAATGAGGGCAAAAAAGCTGTCTGTTTCCACTTTGAAACTCAACACTTAAGACTTAAGAATTTAAGTCCAATATTCAATCTTATTTTAGCTCAATTCCTGAGAGAAACGTCTGGCTGCTAAATGCTTGTCTATGTTCATAAGCAAATTGCCAACTTTGTCAGCCATTTTTAGAGCATTTTTTAGTTGACCAATTTTTAGAAACTGAACAGAGAACCGAGTCAAACCTGTGAAGTTTCCAGATGTAAAACCATGAAAATGAGCTCAGCTGAAAGACCCTAAAATGCTCTATTGCACTGATAGAAACTCATTGACTGGATTGAATAATGGATGTAGCCACCATGAGGTCATGCGCTGGTTTGTGGCCTCGAGTTTTGAAGCGTGAAGTACAGAATTTTAGCTGTTGCCATCTTGGAGCCAGAAATGACTCTATTCAGATTACAGGTTGGAGCTAATCCTGTTGCTAGCTTGGTTAGCACTGTACATTTACAGCTATGGTTAACTTTTTAAATTTTTGCTAGGGAAAAAAACAGGCTAAAAAACTTGTGGACATTGTGGAACATTACATAAAAGACTATCTGGTAGTAAATGTGTGTTACCGAGAGTTAGCATTGCAGCATGCTTGTGTGAAGACACTGCATTATCCTTACCTTATAATTTTCACCATGAACTTACATAGAAATCATAACATGTTTGTGTTGCAGAGTTTTAGTTTCCTAGAGCAAGAATTTGGAGATGCAGAAGTTTTTTTCTGGCAAATCATGACCATGACATGAAAAATGTACAAAATCTAACACATCTTTTCTGATGACAGTTTTTGTCTTTTGTTTGGTGTTTCAATACACCGAAGCTCATAAAATATATTTCATTGTATACTTAGAACCAGAGGTTTCCTGGAGCTCACTCGGGGTACTGTTGAGCAAGGCAGTGAATGATTTATTCAGCATTCTCTCACTGTAGTGCTACTACAGTGTTATGACTTGTGCGTCTACCTGAGGACATTCATCTAGCATTAAACGGACCAAACGTCTTCCCCCTGGTGTCTCCAGCAACAGTGTGTGCTTTACTTCAAAGAGATAGAGCAAACTGCGGCGGGCAGAGCACTTTGAAGCCAGTTCACAGTGTCAACATCTTAAATCATTAAAACAGCTCAGAGACAAAATAGCTCTGTGGGGAGATTCAGCAAGCTTTCAACATTCATTTAATATTTGACCAAAAAAAAAAAAACCTAAACAAAAAAAACATGTATACACAGGATTCTTTAAAAATAAATAAAGTCCTTCACAGGTTCTCTGGTTAGCACTGGGACTTCAGGTAGCTTCCATGTTAGACTCCATGCTGCCTCTCCAAACTGGGGGCGTCCCCACTGACATACTATGTATAATTACTGTCTGCAAGTACCCTATACAACCCCAATTGAAAAAAACAGAACTATCCCTTTTAGTCAGTCCTAGGGTTGGAGGAGTAGTTGTTGGCAGGTGGAGACAGGGGCCTGATTAGACGATCAATGACACCTGATCCCTATAAAGTTTCACTGACTATATGTGAAGTTCAATCCTGTCTTGTCCTGCCAGTAGGTAGACAAGACACTGGGAGATGCAGGAAATGCAGGCTACTGAGGCCCAAAACAGAAACATACAGGGAATAAGCACTGGACAATTTAGGGCGGGACAAAGACCATTTGGAAAAGATGGGTCTTTGTTGTCTTTAGAACATTTCTAAAGGGGCCGCAGACTCTAAACCTAATGGAAGAGAGTTCCATAATGTTGAAGCCATGACTTCAAAGACATAATCACCTTTTGTTTTCAGTCTGGAGTGGGAGACTGCCAGTAGGTCCTGGGGTCCGTTTCACAAAGCAGGTTTAGTGAAGAGTCTGTTATCCCTGAAATGAGGGAAACTCTGAGTTTTCCGTTTCAAAAAGGGAGGTAACTCAAACCAGAGAAAGAGGGGTAACTCTGGCCTGTTTCAGAGAGAGAAGTAACTTAAGCTCTCGGTCAGTTACCGTAGTAACAGACTCTATGAACCTAACCTGGTCGGGACCAGGTTTTTCTCAATGAACCTCGAGTTTCTCTCTGTCTCCGCCCTCTTTCAGAGCCACACACTCCATTTGATTTCCTCATTCATTCAGTCAGCGGGCGAGTTTTGGCGTAGCCTAGTTCTGCCGTCTGTCATTTAAAAAAAAAAAATCAGAGTCAGTAGCCTATATTAGAAGTCCATGTAGGCACAGTAGGTGCCGACTTTTTTCACTAACATGGCATGTCCTTTTGATAACGATCCCGTGGATGAAGGTGCAGCATTACTGTGCAGAGAATTAAATATTCGTTGGGAGATGGTTATCAGACCGCGCATAGATGTTTTAGCATTTCCACACAATTATCTTTTTGAGCGGTACCGTTTCACGTCACAGTCCATCATCTACATACACAACCTAATCCGTCCTTACATTTGCAACATTACCAATTGTAGTCATGCTCTCACATCCCAGCAGATATTGTGTGTTGCGCTGCGTTTCTTTGCAAATGGAAGTTTTTTGTACAATGTCGGAGATGCTGAGCACTTGAGTAAGGCAACTGTATGCAGGGCGGTCAGAAAAGTGTGCTCGTTTTACGGGCATCTGCCTTCTTTCTGTTGGCTGAGTAGAAGTCTGTGTTAGTTTAAATAGGCTTAATTATTTAACAGAACATGATATAGATGAGAAGACATTTATGTGTGTGAAAACAGCATCATGTTGGGGATAAAACAACTGCACAGTCAAACAGCCACTTAATATTTACTTTACAATGTAAAACATGATCAAAATGAGGTACCCCCATGAGATTATGCCGAGGTCTTACCTGTTCGAACAATGTTTTTATATTTCATCCTAAACTGCTGCCAAGTGCGCTTCTCCCCCGCGGGATTACACCTAAATGAAATAAATTAATAAGCTACCATTCAAGCAGTTTTCCCCTGTAATATTATTGTGATTGCAAAGGACTACATTTAAACTTATGCATTCTCCCACGCCGTCTCCCTCTCTTTTGCAGCTGCAGCGGTGTTGCACTTCTTTTTGAAAATGTGTTCAAACTCGCCGTATGAGCGCATTAAGATTTCTAATTCTTGTGGGGTGAAAAACGCAGCCCTGCTCTTCCCCGTTGCCATGGTGACTTGTCGAATCGGGGCTCCATTGATGCTGGCTTTTTATAGTTGTGGGGCACACGCTTAACTCCAGGTGAAACTACTCCGAGTTGATTAAACTGATTAAACTTCTGGTTCGCCAGAAGCACAGCTCCAAGTCAAAGCCCACGGCTCACCACCAGCCTGTTCACGTTTCCAACCGCTTTTCCCCACTCAGCGACACACCCGCTGAGGATAAAACTCTGGTTATTGGCAGCTCTATTCTGAGAAACGTGAAGTTAGCAACACCAGCGGCCATAGTCAAATGTATCCCTGGGGCCAGAGCGGGCGACATTGAATCAAATTTAAAACTGCTGGCTAAAGCTAAACGTAGATTCAGTAAGATTGTTATTCACGTCGGCGGCAATGACACCCGGTTACGCCAATCGGAGGTCACTAAAATTAATATTGCCTCGGTGTGTGAATATGCAAAAACGATGTCGGACTCCGTAGTTTTCTCTGGACCCCTCCCAAATCTGACCAGTGATGACATGTTTAGCCGCATGTCATCATTTAATCGCTGGCTGTCCAGGTGGTGTCCAGCAAACGATGTGGGTTTTGTTAATAATTGGCAAACTTTCTGGGGAAAACCTGGTCTTATTAGGAGAGACGGCATTCACCCCACTTTGGATGGAGCTGCTCTCATTTCTAGGAACCTGGCAAATTTTATTAGTAATTTAAATCCCTGACAACCCAGAGTTGAGACCAGGACAGAGAGTTGC